CAGTGTTCTATGTGTATTAATTAGATCGAGATGCTCATTGACATTCAGATATTTCAGTCCTTATCCGTGTTTGGGTCTACTTTTTCTAGTAATTACTTTTAAAGAATCTTGATTGGGCAGTGCTGGTTGTATTCCTTTGATCAGTGCAAACCCTAGTTCCCTGTGCAGTTCAGCTGGAGTCAAGGAAGGAAGCTTTTGTTAGCAAGAATCTAACCAGCCAATCATTGAGCCATGCAGTTGGCACTGTATTTTAACCATCTAAGGTCATCAGCCAAGACGTTCAAGATCGTAAACAGTGGGATCGGCCTTTCCCCACACAAGATGTACAGGCTGGACCCACATCCATCCCGAGGCCAAGAGTAAACCCAAAATCTTGCAGTCTGCTGTGTTGTTTTTGCCCCTAAACCACCTACAAAATAACGTTTTGAATTTAAACCCACAGTGTCTGCCACCCCACCCTGTCACCTAAAGAGGGATGCAGCTGGTACAGGCTAGAAAAATAGAAAAAGAAGACTAAGCGGAGATGCTGGAAGGGGGAGGAGAGAGGGAGAGAGAAATGAAATTGTGTTTCGTGTCGTGGTTTATCAGAGGTTTGCTGGCCTTATCAGAGAGCGCCTTTAACCTGCATAGAAATCAGGACGATGCCTCTAAATGTTAACTTTCCATGCTTTAAATTAGGGTGTGTGTGTGGGTGAGAACCCATATTCATGTGTTGTTTTGGGGAAGGGTTGAGAAGGGGAAGCCAGGTGATGGTCAGCCTCCATGGGATAACTGAAGCGTGTAATAGCTCAGTGTGCAAATACGTACACACACACACGTGCTTGTAAACATGTGAATGAGTATGTTTACACCCCATATGGTTAAGCGCGCGCACACGTGCTCATGTGGATGCTACTTGGTGACGGTAAATTAGTTGCATAAAATATTACAGTAGTGAAGGATTGATATCAGTGCTGGGGGTTTCATTGGGCCATTTATTAGACGCCCCTGGGGAATTTAAGACCATGCCTTGACCCCACCCACAATTAACTAAAAATGTCTGTATTTCTGAGAGTAAAGCTGGGCATCTGCATTTTTAAAGCTGCTTACGTGATCCTGATGTACGTCAGAAGTTGAGAACATAGCCCTTCTCTCTTGTCTTACAGATGGAAATATTAAATCTCAGAAAGGTTAAGTGGCTTTCTCAAGGTTGTGCAGCTATTTAGTGATGGGGTAGGGCCAAAGGCATGTTCATAATCGGAGTTAAGCCTTTTTTTCTCATTTATGGAGATAATCTGATGGTGTGTCTTTTTCGATCTGTTAATACGGTGAAACACACGTGGCTGACTTTCAGACGTCAGAGCAACCTTGCCCTCTAGCATGAGCCCCACGGGGTCATGGTGTAGCATCTTTCTGTGTGTTGCTATTTTGCATTTTGCAGTACTTTGTTAAGGGTTTTTGCTTCTGCGTTCATCAGAAACATTGATCTACAGTTTTCTTCCAGTGCATTTCTCAGGTTTTGGCACCAGGGTTACCCTGGCCTCATAAAACAAGATGGAAAGTGTTCTCTCCTGTCGTATTTCCTGAAAGAATTTGTGTAAGATTTTAATTATTTCTTCCTTAAATATTTGAAAGAATTAACCAGTCTGGACCAGGAATTCTCTCGCGGAAAGGTTTTTGGTAACTAAGTCAGTCTTTTGAGTGGACGCAGGCACATTCAGGTTTTCTGGTTCTTTTTGTGTTCATTTTGGTAATTGGTGTCTTTCAAGACATTTTCCATTTCATCAAAGTTTTCATATTCATTGATGCCAAACTGTTTGTGATATTCCTCCATGTTTGTAGAATTAGTGTTAATACTCCCTCTTTCATGATGTATTTTGGTAGTTTATAGTTTCTCATTTTCTCGATCTGTCTGCTAGAGGTTCACCAACTTCGTTAATCTTAGAAAAGCACCAACATCTGCTTTTGGTGATTTTCTTTTTCGTTGTCTTTTTCTGGGTTTTTTTGTTTTATTCATTTCTGCTTTTATCTTTATCATTTTCTTATTATGTCTATTACCCTATTATTTGCTTTTTCTAGCTTCTTAAAGTAGAAATTTAGGGTGCTGGTATCCTTCTCGAATATATTCCACAAATTTTCATATGCTGTATTTTTATTATCATTTAAAGTTTGAAATATTTTTAAATTTTCCTTATAGTTTCTTCTTTGACTCATGAATTTTTTTTGCTCTTTGTTTTCCAAATATTTGAGCTTTTAAAGATATGTTTTGTTTATTGATTTCTAATTGAATTCCATGTATTCAGAGAATGTACTCTATAGGATTTTAATCTCTTGAAAACTTGAAATGTCTTATGGCCTAAGATATGAAGACACGTTGCAGGTGCGATAGGAAGAGTGTGTGGATTCTGCAGTGTGGGGTCTGGTGTTCTATGTGTATTAATTAGATCGAGATGCTCATTGACATTCAGATATTTCAGTCCTTATCCGTGTTTGGGTCTACTTTTTCTAGTAATTACTTTTAAAGAAATTAAGATTAGAATAGAGAGAGACTGTTAAACTTATCCGTGCCCTCACTGGTTGAGAAGAGTGACGTCATTTTCATGTACAGAGCCCAGCATGTGTAGCAAAGGCCATTTATGACCAGAGCATCCAGGGACACATGCACTATTTATAATTAGGCTTTGTGTCCTAATGAAGAATACATATTATTAACAGAATGCAAGTGTATACATCGTATAATTAGACCAATAGTGTATCTTATTTTGTGTAAAAACTAGACAGAGGGGCTTAATCATTTTTGTTCTTTGGCTTATGATGAGTCCTAGAAGACAGAGGTTTGCAACACTGTTAGGAATAGTGTCACCAGGTCCGACCCCATGGCTCACTCGGGAGAGTGCGGCGCTGGGAGTGCAGCGGTGCTCCCACCATGGGTTCGGATCCTATATGGGGATGGCTGGTGCGCTCACTGGCTGAGCGAAGTGCAGGCGACACCAAGCCAAGGGTTACTGGGTCACTAAAAAAAAAAAAAAAGGGTC